TATAAATGTGTACATCCTGGAGCTTACCCATCAACCATTTTTTTTTTTAACAAGTCGGCCATCTCCCACCGGGCAGGGTGACACAAAAAGAAAGAAAAAATCCCCCCCAAAAAATACTTTCATCATCATTCAACACTTTCACCTCACTCACACATAATCACTGTTTTTGCAGAGGTGCTCAGAACACAACAGTTTAAAAGCATATACGTACAAAGATACACAACATATCCCTCCAAACTGCCAATATCCCGAAACCCCTCCTTTAGAGTGCAGGCACTGTACTTCCCATTTCCAGAACTCAAGTCCAGCTATATAAAATAACCTGTTTCCCTGAATCCCTTCACTAAATATTACACTGCTCACACTCCAACAGATCGTCAGGTCCCAAATACCATTCATCTCCATTCACTCCTATCAAGCACGCTCGTGCACACCTGCTGTAAGTCCAAGCCCCTCGCCCACAAAACCTCTTTTACCCCTTCCTTCCAACCTTTTCGAGGACGACCCCTACCCCGCCTTCCTTCCCCTACAGATTTAAATGTTCTCCATGTCATCTTACTTTGATCCATTCTTTCTAAATGACCAAACCACCTCAACAACCCCTCTTCAGCCCTCTGCCTAATACTTTTATTAACTCTACACCTTCTCCTAATTTCCACACTCCGAATTTTCTGCATATTTACACTACACATTGCCCTTAGACAGGACATTTCCACTGCCTCCAACACCTCTTCAGTGCTGCATTCACAACCCAAGCTTCACACCCATATAAGTGTTGGTACTACTAAATTTTCATACATTACCTTCTTTGCCTCCACAGAAAACTTTTTTTGTCTCCACATATACCTCAATGCACAACTCACCTTTTTTCCCTCAACAATTCTACGATTAACCTCATCCTTCATAAATCCATCCGCCGACACATCAACTCCCAAGTATCTGAAAACATTCACTTCTTCCATACTCCTCCTACCCAATTTGATATCCAATTTTTCTATATCTAAATCATTTGATACCCTCATCACCTTACTCTTGTCTATGTTCACTTTCAACTTCCTACCTTTACACCCACTCCTAAACTCATCCACTAACCTTTGCAATTTTTCTTTAGAATCTCCCATAAGCACAGTATCATCAGCAAAAATCAACTGTGTCAATTCCAATTTTGTATTTGATTCTCCATAATTTAATCCCACCCCTCTCCCGAACACCCTAGCATTTACTTCTTTTACAACACCATCTATAAATATATTAAACAACCATGCTGAAATTACACATCCCAGTCTAAGACCTACTTTTACTGGGAAGTAGTCTCCCTCTCTTCTACACACCCTAACCTGAGCCTCACTATCCTCATAAAAACTCTTGACAGCATTTAGTAACTTACCACCTATTCCATATACTTGCAACATCTGCCACATTGCTCCTCTATCCACTCTATCATATGCCTTTTCTAAAACCATAAATGCAATAAAAACTTCCCTACTTTTATCTAAATACTGTTCACATATATGCTTCAATGTAAACACTTCATCTACGCATCCCCTACCCACTCTGAAACCGCCTTGCTCATCTGCAATCCTACATTCTGTCTTACCTCTAATTCTTTCAATTACAACCCTATCGTACACTTTTCCTGGTATACTCAGTAAACGTCGTCGTCTTCTACAATTTTTACAATCTCTTTTGTCCCCCTTCCCTTTATAAAAAGGGACTATACATGCTCTCCGCCAATCCCTAGGTACCTTCCCCTCTTTCATACATTTATTAAACAAAAATACCAACCACTCCAACACTATATCCCACCCTACTTTTAACATTTCTGTCATGATCCCGTCAGTTCCAGCTGCTTTACCCCCTTTCATTCTACAACGCCCCACACACCTCCCCCACACTAATGTCCTGTTCTTCTTCACTCCTAAAAGATGGTACACCTCCCTGGCCAGTGCATGAAATTACCGCTTCCCTTTCTTCGTCGACATTTAAAAGTTCCTCAAAATATTCTCGCCATCTGCCCAAAACCTCCATCTCCCCATCTACTAACTCCCCTACTCTGTTTTTAACTGACAAATCCATTTGTTCTCTAGGCTTTCTTAACTTCTTTAACCCACTCCAAATTTTTTTATTTTCATTAAAATTTCTTGACAGTGCCTCACCCACTCTATCATCTGCTCTCCTTATGCATTCTCACCACTCTCTTTACCTTTCTTTTACTCTCCATATACTCTACTCCTTTTATAACACTTCTGCTTTGTAAAAACCTCTCATAAGCTAACTTCTCTTTTATCACACCCTTTACTTCATCATTCCACCAATCACTCTCTTTCCTCCTGCACCCACCCTCCTATAACCACAAACTTCTGCCCCACATTCTAATACTGCATTTTTAAAACTATTCCAACTCTCTTCAACCCCCCCACTACTCATACTTACACCAACCCACCTTTCTGCCAATAGTTGCTTATATCTCACCCGAACTTCCTCCTCCCTTAGTTTATACACTTTCACCTCCCTCTTGCTTGTTGTTCCCATTTTCCTCTTTTCCCATCTACCTCTTACTCTAACTGTAGCTACAGCTAAATAATGATCCGATATATCAGTTGCCCCTCTATAAACGTGTACATCCTGGAGCCTACCCATCAACCTTTTATCCACCAATGCATAATCTAACAAACTGCTTTCATTACATGCTATATCATACCTTGTATATTTATTTATCCTCTTTTTCATAAAATATGTATTACATATTACCAAACCTCTTTCTACACACAGCTCAATTAAAGGCTCCCCATTTTCAATTACCCCTGGCACCCCAAATTTACCTACTACTCCCTCCACAACATTTTTGCCCACTTTAGCATTGAAATACCCAACCACCATTACTCTCACACTTGATTGAAAACTCCCCACGCATTCACTCAACATTTCCCAAAATCTCTCTCTCTCCTCTACACTTCTCTCTTCTCCAGGTGCATATAAACTTACTATAACCCACTTTTCACACCCAACCTTTATTTTACTGCACATAATTCTTCAATTAATACATTTATAATCCCTTTTTTCCTGCCATAGCTTATCCTTCAACATTATTGCTACTCCTTCTTTAGCTCTAACTCTATTTGAAACCCCTGACCAAATCCCATTTATTGCTCTCCACTGAAACTCTCCCACCCCCTTCAGCTTTGTTTCACTTAAAGCCAGGACATCCAGCTTCTTCTCATTCATAACATCCACAATCATCTCTTTCTTATCATTCGCACAACATCCACGCACATTCAGACTTCCCACTTTGACAATTTACTTCTTATTCTTTTTAGTAATTATTACAAGAAAAGGGGTTGCTAGCCCATTGTTCCTGGCATTTTAATTGACTTTTACAACACGCATCGCTTACGGAGGAAAGATTCTTATTCCACTTCCCCATGGATATAAAAGGAAAAGTAATAAGAACAAGAACTATTTAGATAAAATCAAAGAAAACTCAGATGAGTGTGTATAAATAAACATGTACGTGTATGTGTAGTGTGACCTAAGTGTCAGTAGAAGTACCAAGACGTACCTGTAATCTTGCATATTTATGAGACAGACAAAAGACACCAGCAATCCTACCATCATGTAAAACAATTACAGGTTTTCGTTTTACACTCACTTGGCAGGACGGAAGTACCTCCCTGGGTTGCTGTCTACCAACCTACTACCAATATATGTATATATCACATGCCAACACTCTTATATGGGTGTGAAGCTTGGGTTGTAAATGCTGCAGCGAGGAGGTGGTTGGAGGCAGTGGAGATATCCTGTCCAAGAGCAATGTGTGGTGTAAATATTATGCAGAAAATTCGGAGTGTGGAAATTAGGAGAAGGTGTGGAGTTAATAAAAGTATTAGTCAGAGGGCTGAAGAGGGCTTGTTGAGGTGGTTTGGTCATTTAGAGAGAATGGATCAAAATAGAATGACATGGAGAGCGTATAAATTTGTAGGGGAAGGAAGGCGGGGTAGGGGTCGTCCTCAAAAAGGTTGGAGGGAGGGGGGTAAAGGTGGTGTTGTGGGCAAGGGGTTTGGACTTCCAGCAAGCATGCATGAGCATGTTAGATAGGAGTGAATGGAGCCAAATGGTATTTGGGACCTGATGATCTGTTGGAGTGTGAGCAGGGTAATATTTAGTGAAGGGATTCAGGGAAACTGGTTATTTTACAAAACCGGACTTGAGTCCTGGAAATGGGAAATACAGTGCCTGCACTCTAAAGAAGGGGTTTGGGATATTGGCAGTTTGGAGAGATATATTGTGTATTTTTATACATATATACTTCTAAACTGTTGTATTCTGGGCACCTCTGCAAAAACAGTGATTATGTGTGAGTGAGGTGAAAGTGTTGAATGATGATGAAAGTATTTTCTTTTTGGGGATTTTCTTTCTCTTTGGGTCACCCTGCCTCGGCAGGAGACGGCCAACTTGTTGGGGAAAAAAAAAAAATCACATGCAAAGTAGGAATGAAAAACTAACGATCCTGTCATGTCTTGAATAATGAAATTTGACCATGTGAACACACCAATTCTTTTTTTAAATACTGGCCACCTCCCACCAAGGCAGTTACCAAACAAAGAAAACATTTTCACTGTCACTCATTCAATCACTGTCTTGCCATTAAGGTGCCAACATTGCAGTTCAGATGACCCTCCAAACTGAAATATTCCCACCCCTTCTAAAAAGTACAAGCTCTGGACCTCCCACATACAGGACTCAAGTCCAGCTAACCAGCTTCCCTGAATCCCCAAATCTTTATACAGTACATTAAATAACTTTACTTTATTTTCTCAAAATAATTTGGCACAAGTCCCTGGACGAATAAAGTCTTATTTATTAAGAAAACTTATTTTTTTACTGACATTTCACCGATTACATCTCAAAACTAATCTAATTCATTTTTCTAAGATCAATGTACTTTTAACAAAAAGGAGCAACTTTTCAGATATTACACAACAAAAGTAAAAAAATCTTACCAACAGTGCCTCAATCTTGTTGGCATTAAACCTTTGTTTTTCTTGTAGAGGCTTAATCTCTTTTTCGAGTGATTCAAATTTGGCTTTATATTCAGAACAGGCGCTCTGTATGCTTTCCTTTTCCTCACGCATGAGACGGTTGCTGTCTGCAAGAGCATCCATAGTGTGAACCTTGCGAAGTATCTCTGCATAACGCCCTGCAGTATCTGCAGAAACCTGAAGAAAACATTAAAAAATTAATATATGTTTTATAATAATAATAATAATAATAATAATAATAATAATAATCCTATCTAATCCTATCTCCATGGAGAAGTGGAACAGAATTCTTCCTCCATAAACCATGCGTGTAGTAAGAGTCAGCTAAAATGCCGGGAGCAAGGGGCTAGTAACCCCTTCTCCTGCATATACAGTGGACCCCCGCCTTACAATGGCATCGTGTAACGTTAAATCTGCCATACGATACATTTGAACGCAAAACTTATGCCTCGCCTTGAGCTAAAAAACTCGCCTCACGCGATTCGTCCGGGACGCGTCCCACATGTGGCCTCAGCGCCAGTGTTTACAAGACAGCCAATGCGGTCGCATCCACCCATACATTCGGTACATTTCACCTTATCCCAGTGTTTTTTGCGCTTATAACTGCAAAATAAGTCACCATGGGCCCCAAGAAAGCCAACCCTGTAGTAAAAAGGGCGAGAATTAGTATGGAAATTAACCCTTTGACTGTCGCAACCCCCAATCCTGAGGTGTCTCCTGGTGTCGCAAAATTAAAAAAAAAAAATTATTTTTTCTTATGAAATGATAGAGAATCTTTTCCCGATTGTAATGACACCAAAAAAAACGAAATTTGATGGAAAACTGATGGAATTATGCTCTCGTGAAGTTAGCGACCTCGGCGCTGTTTACAAATCGGCGATTTCGCCCACTTTGAGCCCTATTTTCGGCTAATTCCATTGTTCCAGTCGCCCAAACTCATAGCTATTTCTTTAGAACTCCATTTTTTCTATCGATTGAGTACAAGAAACTGCCCATTTACCGATTTCAACTACCCAATAATGTGGTCAGAAATTTGCAATTTGGCCAATTTCACAAAAACTAAAAAATATGACAATTTCAAAATAAGGTCCAGAATGAACAATGCAGACATTCCTGGCTCTAAAATAACATTTTCTTTGCTCATCAGTCATGTCTCCAGGCCCCTCTGATATTACTCTTGCTTTCTATTTTGAATTTTTATTCAAACAAAAAATAGAAGACTTACTATTATGCAGACTACTGCAATACTGTAATAATTGTATAAATAACATCAACCCATTCATGACTGCATATTAGAATGGCTAATTGGACATTTATTGGACAATGGCATCATTTCTTTACTTTTTTTGGCAAAAATCAAACATTTCCCATACTTTGAGCTCCATTTCTAGGTTCTTTTTATAGTAATATCAATCAAAATCACCTCTATTTCTATAATATGTTTTCCATTTTATAAAATGAGACCAAGAAAAGGGAAAAACCAACCATAAATACTATACATAAAAAGACCACAAAGTGGGTTTTTTTAAATTTAAAAAAAAAAAACGGCCCGGAGTTTTTTTTTTCTCAAAAACACTGCTTCTCCGGGAAATTTTTTTTTATATGGTCACACTGACCACACAGAGCCACTTTCTCAAAGGGGGGCCCTACCAGTTTCTACTGCTTGATTTGAAGCCGCAGAATTTATGAGTATAATACATCAAACACGGTCCCTTCGTAAGATTAAATAAAAGGGCCCCCAAACAGTAAAAGGGTTAAAAAAGTTTTTAAAAAGGGGTTTTTGGGGATAACCCTGAGCCCCATGCCAGTTGGGGAATCCATTGTGCCTACTTCACCCAGTTGGGGGGAAAATTTCCATTGTGCCTATTTTCAAAGATTAAGGAAATGTTTTCAAAGGGGGGGTTGAAGTCCCCAAAACCTTTATGGTTTAAAAAAACCCCCCAAAAAGCTTTTGCAACCGGCGGGCTAATACAATAAACAATGTTGTGGCCCATTTTGGGCCCAAATCTTAAAGGAACGGGAGGAAAACAAGCCTATGGAAAAGATTTTGTTTGGAACAGGGGCCAGGACTCTCAACCCTTGCCCTAGTGGCATTAAAAGAAAAAGGGGAAAGGGAAACCCAGCCCAGAGTAAGAGGTAAAAGGGTAAAAGAGGAAAATGGAAAAAACCAAGCAAGAGGGGGGGAAAAAATTGGGTATAAACTAAGGAAGGAGGAATTTTAAAGGTAAAATTTTAAGCAACTTTTGGCAGAAAGGGGGGGCTGGGGGCAAGTATAAAGAATTGGGGGGGTTTGAAGAAAAAGGGTTGGAATATTTTTAAAAAAAAGCAGTATTAGAATGTGGGGAAGAAGTTTGTGGGTTATAGGAGGGAGGTGCAGGGGGAAAGGGGAGTGTTTGGTGGAATAAAGAATTTAAAGGGGGTTGAAAAAAGGGAAAAAAAATTAGCTTTTTAAGGTTTTTACAAAGCAGAAGTTTTTATAAAAACAGTAGAGTATATGAAGAGAAAAGGAAAAGGGAAAAAGAGAGGGGTGAGAAAAGTGCAAAAGGAAGCAGATATAGAGTGAGAGACATTGCAAAAAATTTTTAAAAATGAAAAAAAAGGAAAAATTTTTGAGCGAAAAACCCCTTTGGGGGGTTTTGGACAACTAGTATTTTAACGACCCAGATTTTTTGGGATAAAACTTACGCCAAAAACCCAAGTGCCCCCAAATCTAGTGAAAAAGCTGGTAGGCCAAACATATGAAAGAATGGGTCTATGTGGGGGAGTGTGCCAGTAAAAAAAAAAATCCTGCGGGCACACAGTGCGAAAAGGAAAAAAAAAAAAAAATTTTGACCGGTTTTTGGATTAAAAAAAGCGACTTTGCACTGTATTTTCGTAGGGGTTTTTAAATTTGTTTTTTTTCAATTTTTTCCTTGGTCCCATTTTATAGAATGGAAGACAATTACAAAAATTGGATGTTTTTAAACGGGTTTTTTAACATAAAAAAGTCCCTTTGAAATTGCCCCCAAAAAAGTAGCAGAAATTTTTCGATTTTTACAAAAGTTAAAAAGTAAACAAATCATCCCAAGTGTCCAATACACATAAACCGGGTGAGTCAATTTTCTTTCACAATGCGCTGAATTTTTTAATACCATTTCTACACTAATGAAAGTAGCTGCATAAAAAGTAAATCTTATTTTTTTTGAAAGAAAAAAAATTTCAAAGTGGAAAGGCCAAAGAAAATAAGGGGGCCTGGGGATGGACTAACGAACACAGAACTTGTTATTTCAGTGGGCCCGAAATGTCTTTCTTGTTTATTCTTGGGCCCATTCGGGAAATTTTTCACCTTTTTAAATTATGTGAAATTGGGCAAAATTGCTAAATTTTTGCCAAATTTTTTTGGGGATTGAAACGGTAAATGGGGGGTTTCTTGTACTCATTCGATAGAAAAAAATGGATTTTTAAACGAAACAATTAAGATTTTTTTTTCCCACTATAAAACTGGGAAATTTGGGAAAAAATAAAGGGCCCCAAAATGGGGAAAAAAACGCCAATGCAAAAACATTTGTCCCAGGGCCGGGAACCCTTTAAAAAGAGCAAAATTTTCCCTAAGGTTTTTTTAAACAAATTTCATTTCTTTTTGGGGCCATTTTGATCGCGAAAAGATTCTCTAACTTTTTAAAAAAAAAAATATTTCTTTTTTTTTTTTTTTTTGAAATTTGGCAGACCCCCGAGAACAAGTCTCTGAGAGGACCTGTCCCACCCCCCAAAAGGTTAAACCCAAATTAAAAAGCCTAGAGAAAAATGGATTTGGGCATTAAAAAAAAAGAAAGTGGTTTAAAAGATGAAAGATGGAGGTTTTTTGGGAAGATTTTTAGAATATTTTGAGGAACTTTTAAAAAGGGCGACGAAGAAAGGGGAAGGGGGTAATTTCCCTTTTTCTGGGCCCGGGAAGTATACCCTCCCTTTTAAAGGGGCGAAGAAGAACAGGAAAGTGGGTGGGGGGGAGGGGCGTGAGGGGTTTTGTAGAATGAAAGGGGGGAAAACAGCTGGAACTGATGGGAACATGACAAAAAGTTAAAAGCAGGGGGGGGTATAGTGGGGGAGTGTTTGGGACTTTTTTTTAAAAAAAATGTTTCAAGGGTTTATAGAAGGGCAAAATGATATACGGGTTTATTATTTAGTTGTAGCTACCTTTTGAGTAAAGGTAGATGGGGAAAAGAGGAAAGGGGGCAACAACAAGTAAAAAAGGGGGGTGAAAGTGTAAAAAACAAGGGAGGAGGAAAATTTGGGTGAGATATAAGCACAAATTTCAAAAGGTGGGGGGAAATGCAAAGGGGAGTATGGGGGGTTTTAAGAGGGGTTTTGGGAAAAAGTTTTTTAAAAAAGCAGTATTTAAAAGTGGGGCAGAATTTTTGGTTATAGGAGGGGGGGGGCAGGGGAAGGGGGAAAAAGGAGTGATTGGTGGAATAAGAAGTAAAGGGTTTTGGGTAAAAAAAGAAAAAGTTAGCTTTTTGAGGGGGTTTTTACAAAGCAGAAATGTTAAAACAAGAGCAGAGAAAATGGAGATTAAAAAAAGGTGAAGAGAGTGGTGAGAGAGTCAAAAGGAGAGCAGATGATAGAGTGGGAGAGGCACTGTCAAGAAATTTTAATGAAAATAAGAAAAATTTTTGGAGTTAAACAAGTTAAGAAAGCCTAGGGAAAGTATGGATTTGTCAGTTAAGAACAGAGTAGGGGAGTTAGTAGGGGGGGAAAGAGTGAGGTATTAGGTAGATGGCGAGAATATTTTTGAGGAACTTTTAAATGTTGGGGAAGAAAGGGAGGCGGTAATTTCATGCACTGGTCAGGGAGGTATACCATCTCTTAGGAGTGAAGAAGAGCAGAATGTAAGTGTGGGGGAGGTACGTGAGGCATTACGTAGAATGAAAGGGAGTAAAGCAGCTGGAACTGATGGGATCATGACAGAAATTTTTAAAAGCAGGGGGGATATAGTGTTGGAGTGGTGGTACTTTTTGTTTAATAAATGTATGAAAGAGGGAAGGTACCTAGGGATTTGGCAGAGAGCAATGTATAGCCCCTTTTATATAAAGGGAAAGGGGGGACAAAAGAAAATTGTAAAAATTATAGAGGAATAATTTAAACTGAGTATCCCAGGAAAAGTGTATGGTAGGGTTATAATTGAAAGAATTAAGAGGTAA